GGTATTGCTAAGCTGCCTTGATGGTATTTTAGACTTACAATAGTAATTCCGAATTCCTGGAGAGTAAGCGAAGAGAACCGAAATTCCTAGACTCTGAACATCAAAAATTCCATACCGTTTTCAAATATCTCAAAACATACTCGGTTTTATGCAGAATTCTTTTAAAATTAAGCTTTGGCAAGTGCAAGAGCTGCTTTTGAACGTGATATAATTTTTTTCTCAGCAAAAATTATTTCTGAGGCGGGCGGTCCCATGCAAGTTGACCCAATTTGACCTTTCGAAGAGATTTTGTTTCACCGGGAAATATAAACAATTCGACTAGCTCGTTTTCTGAGCAAACCATTGAAAAACCCTGCCATTTCCCATTAAAACTGCCCAGTAAATCTGAGATAATACTTCGATGACAGCTTACCTTCCAAATGGGTGTTTGAAGGCAAATAACTTTGATGTTCTCCACTAATTCTCCTGTGTCTTGCTGTCGTGCTCAGCCACCGGCCTTTTCATACGGCTACGGCATTTTCTAAGTGTAACCTTAAGTTTCTCCGGTTTTTGCAATATTTTTGCGGGACCTGGATCCATTTCTTACATATAGAGCCTCTTCTGGGTATCTATTGAGTTTTGTATTGAATGTTTCTAATGAAAAGAGGCAAGAAGTGAAGGATTTAATTGAACTGAAAAATAGACCTCGATCGTTGTCACGTAATCTTTACATCTAAGATCACGTGCTGCAAATACGTCCGCATGGATATTTTCGTCTTGCTTTTGCTCATTTCTTTATTTTCCTCCTTACTAGCATACAATATTTTCGTTTTGGTTTTTTTCTTTTCGTTATCACAAGCCTATTTTGAAGAGAGTTCTTTGTATGCAATACTTTGAATCGGTGTATATACACGCAACACATTTACTTTTCCCATTTTCTAGTAACTGTGCAACAAACTAGAAATCCTATCTAGTTTTAGCTTCAAATTTCAAACGTCTTGGCAGGTCCCTTGCTGATGATTTCCTAAAGCTAGATAAAAGGGAATAGTAACGTATATCTGAAAAACTTACTGGCTGCAAAGCGACTTTGTAATTTGTATTAATTATATTTACCAATTTGCCCACGGCAGGTGGACACGCAAATAGGTCCTCTTCGTGGTGCTTCTAACTTTTTAGGAATTATGTTCAACAAGATACCTTTCGATGTAGAAGTAGACGCACGCTTTTACATGATTCTTCGAAAACTGTCCCTTTGGAAACTGAAAATGATTTGCTTTTGGGTTCGCACAAGACATGTTTCTTTTCGTACGACCATAGAGCACGTAAAACTGTTTTGAGGGTTGTCATCGAGAGAGATCTAAGTCTAAAACAGATAATTACCAAATGCAAATAGGTCTATGGCAAACGCTTTGTTTACCTCTCAAAAAGTTATATAGAATTCTCAGAGTTCGAGCTGTTATGTTTTAAAATCGAACTTCTCCATTGCTTGCGCGATAAGCGAAGCTAGCACGTGGGAGGCTCCTAACTGTTTCTTAAATTCAGCAAACTTTATTACGTGGACAAACTCTACTGGATTAAAATCTTTACAACTTTACAAAGACACGTGCAGGAAAGTGAGTTTAGGTCTGTTAAAGTGTATTGTATAACTTGAGCGCTCACTTCGCCCAAAAAAAAAAAAATTGAAATCAAACATTATTTACAATTCGGCAACCCGAGTAATTACTAAATTAGGATGCACGTGTTTACTTCCGCCGAAATTGAGTCATTTACTCTGCGTCATCGGTTAAAGAATTGGAAAATGGAGAGAAATTGCTCGTTTCAGCGGCTATTTGGTGGCCAATGCGGTCAACACCCTCGAAGCACTAAAGTCCAAGATTTAGTTCCCTTGCTAACTTGTAACAAGGATATATCACCGCCACAAAAGCTCTCTTGGGCTGATGACCGGCAGCAGGGTAGCCACTGAAGTGGAACTGATTCTAGCAAGGTCTTCAATTTTCAGTTTCCCTTCCAACATTTCTGAAATGGATATTTGTCCCGCTTATCGTTCTTCGCTGGGCATTGGGTGGAGAAGGGGTTTGGCGCGTTGCCAAGACCCACAACTTCTTGCCATTTCAAAGAGTATTCATGACGAAAGAAAA